ATGACAAGGACTCAGGGCAAACATGGAACAAGTGTGGCATGTTTCAATTAAACAGCACTGGAGACTAGGGAAAATTAACAAACACAAATGGCTAACTAAAGCAAGGAAAAACTGAGTAAACAGAGGACAAGGAGCAAAAGACAAGGAAATAACTGAAATACAAAAAACAGGAAAGCACTGATAACCAATAACAATAGGGAAAACCAAAAACAAAACAGCTAAAGGTTATTCCAAGCCAGCTTTGAACCCATGACTTGCAGGTTCACCATCTAACCCACACACTCTATCCACTGAGCTATGCAGCAGACCAGAAAACACATAGGGACTGAAGGGCGAGTGACATGGAGGAAGACAGAATGGTCAACACCTGCTGGCCAACTTGTCGGATTTAAGGTAGTCTGGGCAAAATGTAAGTGAACGAATATTTAGTCCATTTAAACTGTGGTACCGACAAGTTACCCCAATAAGCCAGTAACCCCACTTTGTAGTACAGGCCACAGCTGACTGGAGCATTGAACTCCGCGACCGCTTTGGAGGAATCGGGTAAGTTGCTATTGTTGTGTTTATTTGTAATATGATTATGAACTTAGCTAACTACCCAGCTAACAAAATGACGTCCTTTCAACATCATCTGAATGTCGACAAACATCATAAAAATGTTTATAATTTACCTCATTTGGACGTTATTTTGTAGGGTCCTCGGTACAGGATATTAGGCCAGTTCTGCTATGAACCTTGAAAACAAAATAACTAAACCAAATGCTTGTGTGGTTTTGAAGTGATACAGAATTAGTTGGCAGATGCTCTCATCCAAAGCGCATTTCAGGTGTGATCAAATCAACTGAGTGAGACATGTAAAAGTTAGGATACAGCCAGATTTGAACCAAAAAACACTTGGGCCATATCAGAGTATCCTACCACTAGAACGCCGTTCTGTGATGATGGTGGTATTTCCCAATCATTACCCCTAAAACCATGGGAAGGAGTGTAGGGTAAGATGAGAGACCTCAAACAGGTAGGTGATAATCCACTGACTGTTCTGCGGGAAAATTGTAGGAGTCTTAAATACTGACATATGCTTACCCAAACGAGCTTGATGGGCCGAATGGCCTCCTCTCGTTTGTAAATTTCTTATGTTCTTATGTTCTACTGGGAACTAGTGCTGCCCCAAACGATTCTTCTTTAAATGATTAATGTAGCGATTTTTTTTCTCTGTTTTGACTAATAATAGTCGATCACGTCAAATAGTCGTCCTAACCCTACTGGGAAGCAATAGAGTAAGATGAAAGGGGGAGTGATATGTGAACATCTCGATTGATTGACTGCATTTTGAAGTATCTGCAGTGGCTTGGAAGTGCATGGAAAGAAGGTCCATAAATGGACCTTCCTTGCAATAGTATAAATTAGAAATTACTATACTTTGTAAGTTGGCATCATGCATTGAAGAGATACAAGTAGGTCTGACAACTGGTGATGAACAAACTTAACACAAGACATAAAATACAGTTCAATTATAACATTTGTTTATAAAAAAAAAACACCAGACATCAAATAATTATACTGTTCTATGTAATTAAACACTTACATTCAGGGGGAGCAGGCAGTGCAGCTCCATGATCTTTTTCTGTGACAGTATCATCATATAAATAGAATTATATAAACGTGATTCATTTTCAATATGAAAGTATTTAAAAAAATACAATTCTAGTACCTTGTGAACTTCCCCTGTCCAAAGAAGAACTCATAGTACCTAGTGGGATATCCGCAAGATAAAGTTTTACTAATTAGAAAATAACAGCCTTATGCTCTTCAATCAAAACTTTGCAGTGACTTTTGAATTTCTTTTGACAAGCTAATCAGAGTTATGCAGGGTTTGTTACACTGGGTTCGATATTAAGGTTGTATTGGCTGCTATATTTAGTGCAATGTTTATGCATGCTCTGAAATTTTGTAAGTGAATGTTGATACCCAAAGTTTCCTCTGAGTGAGTACTAATCTCTCCCACGACTCACAAATACTACCAAAACAGTAGCATGTGGTGTGGTCTGCTACCTCAATCAACTTCCGTGCATTTGTTAGGCCTGGGTTGTCCGCTCTTAAAAGACTACCATATGATTGCCTGGAATTATGTTTGTGTGATATATGCTATCAACTGTTTATCGAAGTTTTTCATTTTCTTATTGTTTGAATTTCATATAAGTTGATATATTTATATTGCCCAGCCCTATGCAGTGAAACCAATGACCAACGAGATCAGATCAATGAATAGAAGCAATCCAATTGTAATCAGATTAGATTACACATTCCAAGTAATCCAAAGGACTACATTTCTGATTGTACTTTTAATCATGTAGTTTGTAATCTGTACTGGATTACTTTTCAGAAATAGGCAAAGTAAGGCAAATATATTGATATAGCACGTTTTCAAACACAGAGGTTATTCAAAAATTGCTTTACATAAAATATAAACAGGTTTTTGTGCTGCAGTTATGATCTAACCATATTTCAGTTAAAAATATAAAATGAAACTTAAAAATGCTGATAAAATCATTAATTAAAAATGTTGTGTTACTAAGCGACCAGACCTTAAGATGGTAAGATGCTCTGTAACTGAAATGGTTCTGAAGAGATTTGTCTCAGGTTGGATGTCTTTACAGTGCTGGTGTAGCATTCGCTGCTCTGTCTGTTATGCAATAGGACAGGAATGGTAGGGATATAGCAGCCCAGTCTGATCTGTGAACAGTTCTGAGTAGCACAATGGGAGCTGGAACCCACATCATTGTCTGTAATGTCTGGTATGTAGTGCATATCAGCACTGGTCACTGAACCTCCCTGCTGACACTAAGGGAGAAGCAGAGAATGTAAAAGACAATCTGGTTCCAATAGACAGCAGTTTCTTCATGCAAGTAGTTTGCCCAACACTGATCACTACATGCAGTGCAGAACATCTACATGTGGGTGAAGGGGAGTAATTTGACCCAAGATGTTTTATGGTCAACCAAAATTGAGAATAATTTACATTTATTTATTTATAGTGTAAGGCTAACATTGTAGGTGTACCTACATGACAGTTATATATTTCTGTGTAACTATACAATCACAACCTTACCCCATTGGTAGTGTACCCTCCAGAAGAATTATGGGTATTTAATTGGATGTTTAAGGGGAGTCAGTCTCTCACTGGGGGAGAGGGGTGAGGTGTGTACCCATCGTGGGATAGTGCCTAAGGTAAAATTTGTTTCCAAACAGAAGTATGGTACCTGGGGGGGGGGGTGTTCCACAAAGAAAGATTTCTCAGATAGCTGGGTTAGTTGTGATTGTCCAGTAAGAGTTTAAGCAAGGACAATCATGACTTCTAGCTAAAGTTAACCCAGCTAACCGAGAAATCTTTCTTAGTGGAACACCCACCAGTGAAAAGTGAGACACTCAGTGACAAAAAAGTTAAGCACCCAGAAGTAATGGTCCGATATGGATGTAATTTGGATCACGCGCAGACCAGAGATGGGTATGTAAATAATTTGATTTGCAAGGAGCTGAATGGCCTCCTTTCGTTTGTAAATTTCTTATGTTCTTATGTGTAGTGTGTGCCAAGCATTACAGAACCCCATGACATCTGCACCTGCCATCCGGACACAAGCATTGGACTTTCAACAAAACCCCGTGTCTCGAAGACTGGCATCAGCCGGACTATGTGTTCAACATTCCATTCGTAGGCCAGCACAGAGACGGGTGCGTTTGGAGTGGCGTTGTAACTGGGAGGCATGGACTGATGACGAGAGACGTTGTACCATGTTCAGCGATGAATCTCGGTTTTGCATTACTACAGATGACCATCATATCAGTGTATGGCGCCGCCGAGGGGAGAGGACCAATCCTGCTGTGTTGTGGAGACACACCGGTGTTACTCCAGGCATCATGGTGTGGAGAGCCATAGGGCCATTCAGGTCATCTCAGGAAGTGATTAGGGGGACCCTAACAGCACAGCGCTACTTCAGTGACACCTTGCATCTCAATGTCTTACCCCTCCTGAGACAGCACCCTGGTACAGTCTTTCAACAAGACAATGCCTGTCCACACACAGCACATGTGTCTATGGACGGCCTGCGTCATGTTGAGGTCCTCTGGTGGCCAGCCAGGTTCCCCGATCTTTTCCCAGTCGAACATGTGTGGGATTATCTTGGACGTCAACTCAGACCCAGTTCCAATCTGCAGGATATCAAGCGCCAGTTACAAAAGCTGTGGCCCAACTTGCTGTAAGAGAGGATTCAATGGCTGTGTGACTCCCTTCCGCACCGTATCGGCCCTGGAGGTACCACACCCTACTGACATGGGACCAGCAGTGCGCCTATACCGCCAACTTTGTGGTCCGTTTGATATTATAATCATTGAAATAGTCACATGACCTTTCACCACATGCAGATTGATTTCATTTGCACCACTCCATCTGGGTGCTTAACTTTTTTTGTCACTGAGTATATTAAGGTCGGTATTACCCACCTCCTGCCTATCAAAGAGCAGCTTTTAGTCTAAATCATTAGTTTGATGACAGTGCCATTTTGTGTGCAAACACACAAGGACAAACCCAGAGATAACTTACTGGGTTAACCACTGACATAGTACCATTTAACACTGATCACAACAACCAGGGTTTGTAATACAGCACAAGCAGACACTATTTAACAGTAAAGACAAGTACACTTTGCCATTCCACATGCGATTACAAAGGCTGAACAGCAGTCCATAGCTGCAAGAAGCAGCACTTCTTAGACAATTCAGCCCCCGGGACAGGAATGGTGTATGAAATCTGCACCCCCCCCCACCATTCAGGAAGTGCCTGTGTCTGGTTCTCTAGAAGAAAAGCCTTCCATCCACAACGGAGTCTGTGTCTTTATGGGCAGAGTGCCATGTATGTGAAATCTCACCACTGGATGGCTGGAAATGCATCAGCAGGGGCAGTGAATGCTCAATCAGCACAAAGAACTAACCAATCGACATGTGGCCATTGCATAACCTTCTCATCTTTAATATTGATAATGTACAGTTAGAGAAAATAGAATGGGTGATAAGTGAAAAAAAAACTGAACAAATATTTAAAACTGTATACATATATTAATAAAAAATAATTATTAAAATTTTAGCAATGTGTACTATGGAAAAGCACCACTTTGCATGGAAAAGGCAGGGGAATGCTTGGGAATAGCAAGGTCTGCACAAGAAATGACAACATCACTGGCCAACAACGACCCTCCATTCATAAAGTGAATCCTGCAGGAACTCTGAAAATGAGGTCTAAATGATGACCAGAGCGAACGTGTTCTTAATGAAAGGTGCATCTAAGGGCAAAGCACCACGCTGTCCCAGACACCTGACTGAGAACCTCCGGGTGAGATGTCTGTTCATGGCCAGAAAACCAGCTGCACAGGTGGACAGGTTACAGGAACATACTAGACTATCTGGGTTATCAGTTAAGATCTGAACAGAGAAAACAAGCTGAAAAGCACTTGGCAGCCTCAGGAGGAAGCTGGGAGCTAGCACACAAAAGAAAAGAAAAGAGAGAGAGAGAGAGAGAACCATGAACTACGAGCCCCGTACGCAGATCGTCCCTCTAGTGAGCTGGCACCAACCACAAGCTTCGGGGATGGGTCAGGTGCAGGTGGGCTTGAAAAGGGAGGCATCACTGTAAGTGTGAAAAGACATCCAGACAACACCGTCTACTCAATGGTCAAAGTGACGACCGCTGTCATTTTTGGATATATTTTAACTGGTTTTCTACTGGGCTTATTTCTTGTATGGGAGAGAATGTTATTGACTGATGGAAGCGATGGACACACGAGGACAAGTGTGGCACACCGGTACAAATCCACACCACCTCACACACACGCACACACACACAAACATATACACGCAGAGGAAATGGCAGTGGGATGACTACTGAACACTTCAGCTTGCCTGCATATTGATCTCACGCTGTTCAGCCCAGTACTCGGTGTGTAATGCATATTCATAGGCCCGTCTACGCACTCACGATCCCACTGATCTACTCAAAACCCATAGTGGAAAATAAAACTTGCTCCCTGAGAGGAGTAAGCAGACACATGTTCAACTCCTTGTTTTCACCTCCGTCAAACCTCTCAGTCACTTTCATTTCTGGGACTGACATGAATAAATGAGCATTTCTTGTCAAGAGTGCTCAATATTACCTGGCCTAGTGGTGGTGTGGATTTGTCTCTCTAACTGTGAAAAGCAGTTCCACAACAGCACCCTCTGGTGGCTGCCTAGGGGCATAATGTCTGTGTGTAGCTTGGGCATTCTGGAAATCACTCCCAGTGTGTCAGCCATAGCTACGGTCCTGCCTAACACACAAAATGTCACTTCCTCTTGGTTTAGAGGAGTTCTCACAGCTCCTCTTCATCATAAACGCAGAACTTAGACACACTTGCATCCTTGAAAAGACAGAGACGAACACATGTTACTTGGGGTACTGGGTGGATATACCCTGTGTCTCCTTCTTGAACAGGTGGGGTGTGTGTGTGTGTGTGTGTGTGTCTGTCTGAGAAAGTGTGCATTTAAATATGTGTGTGTTTGTGTTGTTGATGTGCAGGTAGCTTGGAATATTCCTGCTTGATTAAAGGTGAACATTGTGCACATGCATGTTTTTCTTGTGTGTTTGTGTGTTTGTGTGTGTGCGTGAGACTTGGGTGATGTAATCAGTGAGGAATGAAAGCTTGTAAAACGGAGCATCTGAGGACAACCAAAAGAGACTCAGAAGATCTTGCCCTTCTTCTTATTCTTCTCCATGGTCCTGCAGAGGAGGAGAGATGTTATTATGGCCACTCATGAGGCTTTGTGAGAGCTGCTGGGTATTCGGGTGCCCCCCCCCCCCTATTTATGCCAGACTGACACTCACTTTGAGGCGTCCAACTTCTGCTGCTCCAGCAGGCGCTGTTGAGCCTCCCAGTTGGACTTCTCCTCCTCAAACTGACGCCTCTTCTCCTCCAGTTCCTTATACTGGGCCTCCAAATTCTTCTTCATCTGCTCATGGCGTCTTTCCAGCTGAGAAAGAGGTGGAATGACAGGTAACTTGCCTGTGGCTGTCAGCACGTAAATATATACACATTATACATTTGTTTTGCCATCATGGTGCACGATGCAGTGCCTCACTCTCATAAATACATAATCCCAAATGCCATATATAATCCCTAATGCCATATATAATCCCAAATGCCATATATAATCCCTAATGTAACGCATAATCCCTGCTGTCATGGGGCCAAATGCAGAGCCTACCTCGGCCTCAGAATCTTTCAGCTTCTGCTTCTTCTCCTTGACCTTCATCTCAAAGACCTGCTCCATCTCACTCTCCATCTTCTTCATCTTCATCACATGCTCCCGCCTCTCCTCCTCCATCTGTGCCAGGGGGCTCCTGAAAGGGACGCAGATTTCTGAATAACATCTGATAAGTCAAACTCAAAATATGTCAAATCAAATCATGATGGGAAATTAGACTTAAGACCTTTTTAATGCCAATTCAAGTCAAATTTAAGTCCAATCTTTAAGCAGAAAATTGCTTTATCCATACATTTACACTACAGTGACTACACCCACTGTTTATTCAAGTTTGTATTTAAAATTAACTAACAATTGATGTGTGGATGATAAATCACACTTTATAATGCGGTGATCAAGGAATGGGTGCCTCAATTATGAGAAATCCTACCAAGTAACTTCACTCATAACCGAGAAACAATGGACTTAGATTAAGATTTTAAAATGTCCCATTCTCCAACATTACGCGCATATAAAGCAGCAGATTAGATTCTTGAAAATCTGAATTTACACCCAAGGACAATGCCTTAGACAAGATGCCTAACTACCCTATGTTCTGATAGCTGCTACAGCCCATGCGACTTTTAGCACCAACTGCTGGAAAAAAAGAAAAAAATTTGAAATGTAAGCGAGATTAACATGCACCCTTCAAAACCATTCAATACTTCTTTATCCATCGCACACCTCATCGTGGCCCCCTCACACTCGGCTGCAAACCGCCCTAGTGCATGCTGTAGGTAACAGCCCAATGACGCCAATATGACCACATCATCCACAAGAAGCAAAGACGTGATCCTGAGGCGCCCCTGAGAAATTGAACAGCTATGAACAGAACCGGTGACAAAAGGGTATGACTTACTGCTGGCAATGCAAAACAAACTCCTAGCTTCTATGTTAGTGGCCCCTTGTGGCATAGCCCGGAGTAACATGGGTCTGTTATCCTGTGGACCCATCACCTGCAATGGGAGCTGTGGGGTTCGGGTGCAAATGCAGGCTCCTCGATGGACCAACTGTCAGCTACCGAAATTAGCTTACACTGTACTCAACCTCCTTAAGTATTGGTCTTTTAAGTAAAGTTTTTAAAGATGTAGATACGCTGGATGGAGGGATGATTCATGTTCTGGGCAGGACAGTGTGAGATTTCATCACGCTACTCAGAATGCCATGCATTTTAAAACTTGAGCAAAACATTATTTTTGGAATGCTCCGACTACAGGTACTGAATCCACGGAAAGCGAAACCACGGATAAGGGGGGGGGCCGCTGTGAATATTTATGACCTCAAAAAAATTAAGACCTAGTAAACTTAAATGTAAGACTTTAGAAGACTTTTCAATGTCTTCATTGGTTCAACTTGAATTTAAGACATTTGAAAACTTTTTAATGCCCCGCAGATACTCTGCTGATTTATCGGACTTAAAATCAACACAGCAAGACTTTTCCTTGCTCGCGTTGACCACCTTTCTGTGCCTTCTTTTTTTAAGCTTTAACCTTTAGACTGCAAGAAATCAATAAATCTTTATCTGTGGCTGGTTCTGTCGGCTTATGTCAGTCCTATGGGTCTCTCGGCCTGTATGTGTCTGTCAGTGTTGACCCGTCCATACGAATATGATATTATTGGAACCTCCCCCCTCCCCCCCCCGACACCACCAGCCAAGGGACCCTGGTACCTACTTGGTCAGCTGGCCCTTGGCCTTGGTGGCGTCGATGCCGTTGCAGGTGACAGCTGCTAGCTTCTTACTGCGATAGTTCTCATAGTGTACATTGTTGGTCACATCCTTCAGGTCCTGCATGTGAGTCCTGGAGATGGAGTGAAGGAGGGGAGCAGGAGGAGAGAAGGAAAAGAAAAAAAAACAGTCTGAATAAACATGCACCTTCCAGTGTCCCCAAGATGCTGAGTATGTACTATATCCCCAGCTAAGGCAAAATAAACCAATTAACTGCCAAGCTGACAAAGGGCCACCTTTCTCACCTGATGAGCATGTTACGAAGTACAGTGAAGTCACAGTGCTCCCCATTCTCAACTAAAACAAGAGAGATGAAACAATTAGAGGCTGGACCAAAGCAGGCCTACCCTGCAGATGGACAACAACTGCACGCTAACATGGGCGGGCATATCTCTAGATGCACAGGATTCTGGAAGAAGACCCCTGAGATGCCTCTGAAACACTATTCGGCACAGAAAGTAAATCACTCCTCAACACAACATGCTAACATTCTGACTTAGCAAAGAACAGCCCATTCCAGAGTTACTCCCATATAAGCCTGCTGGACTGACTGCATGAAGCTCCACCCCCATCTTTCATCATTTTATCAGAAACATTGGAGATGTGCAGAAAGTTTATTTGGCTAAAGCAGATACTGGTCAGAGTTGGACTGTGCAAGTAAAAAAACGCCATCGGTCCAAACGGTGGCCATTCGGCGGTCCCTAAGTGCTGCCTGCCATCACATACCTGAATGTAGCGCCCCCTGGAGAAGGGGAGGGGCGAGACCTCGGAGAGCAAGCTAAGGGTCAGGGCCGACGAGCCTGAACCACACTCAGCTCTGACTGTGAACTGTGGCTGCGAATGGCCAGTTACATGACACGCTGATGACAGGGGAGGGGAGGGGAAGGCATGAGAGCTCTCAATGGATGGAGCGGGAAGGGTTGTGGTCAGGGCAGGGTCATAGGGCCGAGGGGGTCTGCTGCACTACTACTGGGACAGGAAGCTGGGGGGGGTGGTTTGGCTTAAATTCCTGACCATGCCTCGATTCTCCCACTCCACACTCTGGTGGGTGGGGAACGGCTGTGAACCAGGGACGTATACATAGGCTGACTGTTTCTTGGAAAAAAAAGACTGGTAACCAGACATTTCTTTGGCAGGAATTTAAGACCATTGTTTTTACAATCAGCTGTGAAGTCTAATACGGTGAGCATATGCATGATGTCATCCAGAACAGCCCTGTCTCTGATTGGCTCTGGGCTTCAAAGATGACATCACTTACAGATGTTCTACGTAAAATAAAGCACGGGGGAAAAAAAGCTTCAGAGAAATGAGTGAAAACAACATTTGAAATAGCAGAATAATCACATGGGCAAAATACGCAAATGAATCTTAAAACTTACGGGCAATTCATCCAGCACATATAAAATGAATAATATCGACAAGAAAAAATGACTGCAGATACTTCCCGTATTTCACAGGAGGACTTGGCTTTGTAATCTGCTGGTTCTAAGGATGCACCGATCCCACTCTGTTTGTCCCGATATGATACCTGAGCTTTAGGTACTGGCTGATGCTCATCCGATACCAGTGATTAATAAACTGTACGCTCTGCCTCACTGTGTGAAAGAGACTGATCATTCTTTTGTGTGTAGGGGAACATGAGGCGTAACTTACAGGGTTGATTCTGTCCCATGCTTTTTGATGCATACAAGCGGTCAATCACAATAACTGTGATCATATAAGCCGTTTCCACTATATGTATGTATTTACCTTACTTGAAACCTGAGTTTTGAATTTATATCAGGATTCTCAACTCATGAAGCATGAAAGGTCTTTACAGAGGAACAAAATCTAGACTGTCTAGGCTGATTTATACTACACCATAGCCTCACGTGCACCTCCCCAGAAATCTGCGTACACGTTGCGTTGACGCAGATCATGGAAACGGTGACTGTCCACTTGGTAGTATTCATTTTTTACATGAGCGAAGAAGGTGTGCACACAGGTGTACCTATACTGGTGATTGAACCTGAAGCTTTAGTTAAACTAAGTAAATGTATTTAATGTTAGTTATAAATAAAGCGTCATTTTCATTTTCTCTTGCTTCTCCATAATTTGAGCTACAGTTTGTTCCGGTCTTTCTCTGCTAGCATTAGAAAACTCCATGTACTTCGCACTATGGTGCGTTTTCTTGTTAAAATCGCTTGTGTTAAGTGCCGTGCTGTCACTTCCTCCTCTTGACACTTAGCAGAACAGACCTCACAGTTTAACAAAATGCTGTGGCTTTGAGTTTTGAAGTAATGTTACTATTAAGTGGCACTGGCCTTTGGTATCGAACAATTTTTATCAGTATGAGTCTTTGAGCGCAGTATTGGCCTGATACCTGATGCTGGTATCGGTGCATCCCTACCTGGTCCAATCTGTGACATAATGTGTTCTCAGCTCCTGCCTGCCCCTGTACAAGCTTGTCCTGTTTGCCATTGTGAGAGATCCCTAAACCCTAAGCCTGCAGGGCACCCAATAACAATGTGTGGCAGCCTATGTGAGTGTCTGCGTACAAGCTTAGCCACTTTTCTAGAGGGAAATTCTGAGAAAACAAAAAGTGCTGATACAATACTTTTAAAGTTATTTTATAAATTTTTCCTCTGGAGCTTTGGAAGCTTGAAAGCACAACATATAAGTCGTGTCTGTGTGGGGGGTGCAGCAGGGTGTTTATGAGGCTGTGAAGTTGTGGCTAGGTGTAACTAAGCCCCGAACATGGTTCTTTAAGTGATGGCTTGAGGTATGGACAAGGGAGCAGCAGAGATGAGTTAGTGTGTGACAGGCTCTACTCTAAGGGCAGCGCTGTGACTGAACATACAGCTTACAGCTGCTTCTCATGACTATTAAGAGCATGGTGTTGACCTTTGACCTTAGGTCAGACGAACAAAAAAGTGACAAGGGGAGGGAAGCCTGAAGGAAATTAAAAAAAAATAAATCAATAAAAGCAAGAGATGGTTTGGTTTTGTTTACCGAAAACGCCCTCTGTCAGTCATGGAACAGAATAGACAGGAAAAAGAAAAAAAGAGAAAAAGGGAATGAAAAATGAGAGCCTGGTAATTCTGTTTATACACCAGAACAAGAATTTAAAAAGCAAAAGAAACCTTTCAGAGGACTAAAAAGAAACAAAAAAGCAAAGTGATAAGAACAATGAAGCCACTGTGGCAAAGGGTAAGAGAGAGAGGGCTGTACTCTGACTCTCTCTCGGGGGGGAGGGGAGGCTTGAGGAGGAAACTACCATACCCACAATGCAGCACTCCCCCTTTTCCAGAAATCCCTCCACTGGCAATCTGCCTGAGGGTGATTGGGGGGGGGGGAGGGGCTATGAGTTTGTTCTTCCGATCCATGCAGAGCACCGCAACTCTCCTATAGTCCCCACAGCCATGATATTAACACAACTGTGTGTTCAGGCTTGTCACAGACGCTTTTATCCAAAGCGCCATGACTTATGGTGCTGTGCCAGCCGCAGAAGAAACAGCCCCCCCCAAACACCCACTACCATTTACCAACCCACAGCATTCCCCGCATAAACCACCACCACCCCGTCCCTCCCCCCATTAATGCCTTCTGCCCCTCCTCCCCAGCCGCACCCTGCATTTGCCCACTGCGTACCTTCTGCGACCCCCCAGGGGTACTGGCGTCCTCGCACTTTGCGGCCGTTCACCTCGATGACCACGTTGCTGCCCACCACGGCCAGAGGCATTTTGTCCTGGGGGGGGGAAGGTGACACACATTGCCAGCATCTAGTCACCGCCTGCACAGCCTTTCACTTCTCACACCACATCAGGTACCGTATTTTAGTACTTCCAAAAAGTAACAAAAGTACAGTGTTTCCAGCTGTTGCTTTGCCACTGGCGTAAAAACTGGCACCAGAACTGTGATGTCGCAAGGCGGGTTATTTTGTACTGAATATGAAAAATGGCTACAGTATATTAAAGGGCTGGACGATGAGCGAAATTAATACCAATATTGCGTGTTATGGACATGCAATTCTTACATTGCTAGTAAGCTAGATTAAGTTCAGGCTTTTTCTTACTTTCAATTCTTTATGGACATTATAGCACTAGGGGGTTTGCTAAAATATTTTTACTGTTATAGGAAAAAGGAAAAAAAAAAAACCTGGTGCGGTGGAAAAGCTCCCTCAGTTTCTGCTTTTTCCCTTCCTGTCCATACATGATGGATAAATGAAGGCAATATACTTATTTGCCATTTCCTTTATGGTCAATTGAATTCTCTGATTTACCATTGCCATCTTGCTCTCCCCAGTGGGAGTCAAAGCAGAGTGTGATTATTCCTCTGCTAGACACAGGACTCGATCCCACGAGCAGACAGATATAGGCACAGATTGTCAAGCTCTGCACTGCCCAAATGTGTGTCATACTTCCCCTCTTATCCAGCAGAGGAGTCCAGCCAGACAGTCATAGAAAAGAAGGGAGTGAATGTGTATGACCACGGGGCCCATGGACATAGTGAGCCACACGGGAGGCACACGGACCTGAGGAATCCTCAGGCGGCAGTCGATACTCCTCTCTATTGTCAGATGCTAAAGCGTGTTAGCATTAAGGCTCTCCTGGCTTCTCAGGGCTTCTGTGAAATTTATGGAAGCCCTTCCCTTTAGGCATGTAGAGGATTGGGTGCCTTGTGGAATTCAGCCATGAGCCCTGTTTGTTACAGCTAGTCTGATGGTTAGTCTAAGTCTTGTTCCTCAGGCGTTTGGAACAAACTAGGCCCGACCTAGTTTGTGTCTCAGCAGAACATGTCACTCTGACTCTGGTCTGAAGGCTGGAGCCTCCTGGAGGTACCTTGATCTTGCGGATAAGCTTGTTGTCCTCATCATCCTCAGTGTCAGGGAATTCGTAGATTTTGATCTTGTGCTCCTGGATTTCTTTCATAATCTGACAGAAGAGGGTACAGTTATGTCACACAGCAGGAACTAGACAGACATTTCAATTACACAGAGATGCATGTGAAAGAGCACAGCAGGGCGCACACACTGTGTCACATTCACACATACAGACACAAACACACGTTTATATTCATATCTTTGTGGGGACCATCCATTCATTTCTATGAGCAAAACCCTAATCCCAACACCTTAACCTTTTGCCTATTTTAGGTTTTTCTTTGCGTTCATAGATTTTAAAAAGTTGAGTTTCCCTTTGTGCGGACTGAAAAAATGTCCTCACGATGTCAAAATAACAGGTTAATATGACTACACAGACAGACAGACAAAAACACTCACCTGTTTCTTAAAGAACTGACACTCCTCGGGTGTTAAGGTATCTGCCTTGGCGATCAGGGGGATCACGTTGACTTTGTCATGGAGCCGCTTCATAAACTCGATGTCCAGGGGCTTCAGGCTGAGGGGTGGGGATATGCACACAGTAAAAGGCAGAAATGAGCACAGCACAGACACAGGTGCACAATGATCTGGGGGGTGTGGATATACACACAATAAAAGACAGAAATGAGCCCAGGACAGACACAGGTGTCCAGAAATATGACTCTTGTGCTCACTGGAATCCCAGCAAACAGAGAAGGGTTTCTTTTCCAGTGGCCCTGAACCATTATGTCACTGGGAAGCTTGTGTGTATTGCAGGAGGGGGTTGTTTTCTCACTCCTTGCATTGGCAGATGGACAAGAGGCAAGATGGCAGGAATTCAGAGAACGCAGACACAGGGCGTTGTGGCCGTGCAAGGCAAAGGACTCGGGAGCTGATTGGCTGAGAGGTGAGGGCCACTGGTCCGTGGGTAGGGCCCAGGACAGTGCTGGGACCCTGGTATGTCATGGCTGTTTAGCTCTAGTGCAGCGCAGGGTGAAATAACATGCATGCCTGAGAATGCAGCTGGTCCCAGGTCACAACACAGAACCATTCAGAGCCATATCTCTGACCAACTGGCCAGTTAGCCACCCAGAGAAAACCAAGGACGACAGAGACACTCTGTCAACTGTGTCGGCTCTCATAAGGAACGCCTTCAGCTGTGGAAGGACTGGCTGTGTGATGATGGCATCATGTGATAAGTGAGCACCCAGCACTCTGGCCCATGCTGCAGGGATGAGGGAAGTGTGGATAAAAATGGCTGAGAGTTCACTGTGCCCAGCTTGGCCAACAGAGAACAGCGAACGCACGCACGCACGCATGCGCACACACACACACACACACACACAGAACTAAATCGCCTGCCTGCAATCAACTCAAAGCTTACATAACCATGACAAACAAAGCTCAAACACACAAGCCACTGGCATTTGTGTGGGTGAATGTGTGACCTACAACATTTAAATGTGCGTGTGTGCATTTGTGAATGAGAGCGAACAACGTGGTGTGGGAGTTGGGAAAGGGAGCCATTCGCATATGTGGTTATGCCGACTGGCCTCCCTCACCCAGCACTGCTCATCAGGTGCAGTACTCACCCGTGGCCAGAGGGGGCAATGAAGTACAGGCAGCAGTGGACCCTGTTATCCGGCATGAGTCTTCGGTTGACCCGGGATTCAGCGTTCAGGAAGTCCTCGCATTTACTGTCGATGTAGTTAATGACAGGCTGCCAACTAAAGAAGAGTCAGAGGAGAAGGAAGGCTGGATTGTAAATGCTGGTTCATACTCCTCCGTACGCTTATTAGCGGACGTGTCCGAGCAAACTTTCATGACGCGTTTGGCGTCATCGTGTGTCTCCTTGGATGAACGTGTGGTGAAGGGCTTCATTGCAAATTTGTGTCAACGCAGCGGTGTATGGCAGCTCAGCACACAATGTGCATGATCGATTTGCTAGCATCCACTTCAAACACCCACAAGGATGCTTCTGATAAGGGTTGGGGTAGTTTGAAAACCCTTCAGACAAGGTAATGAAACTGTTACATGCATGTAAATGCATGTGCATGCAGACTTGTCTTGAATTGAAAATCGCCAGCCAGCTAACCAAAGTTGGCAGCCCTGTGAGCTGCCTCTGAATTTGTAAAACATAGAAAAACGGACACAAACCTCACTGCTGTGATACATGTACAGGGAATATCATCATAATAGCATTGTGCTTGTGCAGAGAAGTATGAACCAGCCTTAAAGTAGAGCAGAGGAACACATGTGCGCAAGCAAACGGACAAACTAACATGTATTAATTTATACCGATATATTTTTACGTGCGGTATAAGATTTCGTAATACCGTTTATACCGTCCTCACATTTAGATTTCAAGGAGCAGAGTTTCTATCCTTAGGGTGAACCTTAGGAAAAAGCAGTGCAAAGTGGTGCGAGATAATAAACGCAGTAGCTTACATTGCTAAAGATATGGTCCCCATTGCTATAGTGGAGCAAGACGCTTTTAAAAAAAAATACAAAAAACGCTTCACCCTAGGTACCAGTTGCCCATGTGCAAGTATTTTGCAAGGAGGTGCTACCGGAAGTGTACATGGATGTCCGGAAGACACTTACTGGCCGGCTTGCTAACGTGATACATTTCGGACTGACTACAGACATATGGTCAAGTTGGACATGCAAGCCGTACATATTGTACCGTGTCACAGGGCGTCACTGAAGCCTGCTGTTCACAGGCTTGTTTTTCTTGCAAAAAACCTTTGAGAGAGGTTATGAATACACTACCTACCTCCACAGGAAATTTAAGTTTTTGTTAACATTGTTATATAACAGTTCTCCTGTCATAAAAGAGCATATTTTATCCTTTTTTTAAAGGAGGTCATTTATTTTGTGCAGTTTGTATCTGCATGATTTTTTTGCAGCTGAATATTTTTCTTACTGGGTATTTTTTAAATGTTTTTTCATACTTTATTCCTAATTATATTAATGTATTGTTTTTATTGCTATATTAATATTCCACAACTGTGGACTTATGTTAAGCAAGTGTCTATTTTTAAAGGCAATTTATTTTATGTTTTACTTACATAATAGTGACATATTATTTACTTCAGTAATTGTTTGAAATCAAAAAAACATTTCTCGGTTACAAACAGTCTGTTATAATAAACATTCTTATAATATCACATATGCCTTTGACTTTGAATTAAACTGAACATTGTGTAAAAGAAAATACCGGGATACAAAAAGTATATTGTGATTGAGCCAAAATATACCGGGATATGAATTTTTGGTCCATATCGCCCAGCCATAGCCACAGGTACATAAAATCAAGCACCTAGGCATGCAGACTGCTTCTACAAACATTTGCGAAAGAATGGGTCACTCTCAGGAGCTCAGTAAGTTCAAGCGTGGTACCGTGATAGGATGCCACCTGTGAAGTCCATTCATGAAATTTCCTCGCTACTAAAAATTCTATGGTCAACTGTTAGTGGTATTATAACAAAGTGGAAGCAGTTGGGAACAACAAAATCAGACCGGGGACAAGGTATGGTGAGGCGCACAGTGTGCAGAAGTCAGCAACTTTCTGCAGAGTCACCAGCAACAGAGCAGTGAAAGGAACTCTTAATGCTGCGGCATTCAAAGCTATTTTGGACAATTTCATGCTCCCAAATTTGCAGGAACAGTTTGGGGACGGCCCCTTCCTGTTCCAACATGACTGCACACCAGTGCACTAAGCAAGGTCCATAAGGACATGGATGAGTGAATCTGGTGTGGAGGAACTTGACTGGCCGCACAGAGCCCCAACCTCAACCTGATAGAACACCTTTGGGATGAAGTAGGGGGGGAGACTGCAAGCCAAGCCATCTTGTCCAACGTCATTGCCAGACCTCACAAATGCTCTCCAGGAAGAATGGTCAAAAATCCCATAATCACACTACTAAACCTTGTGGACGGCCTTCCCAGAAGAATTGACGCTGTTATAGCTGCAAAGGTTGGGCCAACTCCATATTAAAGCCAATGTATTAAGAATGGGATGTCAATAACGTTCATGTGTGTGTAAACGAAGGTGTCCCAATTCTTTCGGCAATACATTCAGAAAAATAAGCAAATAAACATTAGCAGACAAATAAAAAAGCATATTAGCAAATGCACACAAGCATGCAAATACATAAACAAACATGCAGACACATAAGCAAACAAACACATAAGCAAACCATTACAAACAAACATGCAGAGTCAAAAGCAAACTAACGTGCAGGCACAGAAGCAAATGAACAGTAACAAACATGCAGGCACATAAGCACAAAAACATGCATGCAAATACAATTGCAAGCACAGGAATGCATAAACACAAGAACAACACAAACAAACAGGCAGATAAATAAGCAAACATATAAGCAAATTAACACAAACAAAAATGTGGGCATTTAAGCACAGAAACATGCATGCAAATACAAATGCAAGCAAAGGAGTGCATAAAGGAATACACAGTGAGTGGCTCAGTTGGCCAAGTCTCTGTGCTTGTGATTTGAAGGTTGTTGATTCAAGCCCCACCCCTCCCAGTGGGCACTGTATGTCAGCTGACCCTGTACAGTGACCCATCCCCAGCTGTGGAGAATAACATGGGGTCACTAAAAAGAAGCTTTCCAATGTAATATTTATCGTGGGCAGTGGTGGCTTAATGGTTAGGGAAGCGCACTTGTAATTGAAAGATTGCTGGTTCGAATCCCCGACCAGCAAGGCACCACTGAGGTACCCTGAGCAAGGTACTACTCCCAAGCACTGCTCCCCGGGTGCTGAATTAGCTGCCCCCTGCTATGTCACGAAAGTCACATATGGGTTAAATGCAGAGGACACATTTCGTTGTTGCGCACTGTGGTGTGTTGACACTGATCACCTAATTCTAAATACAAGAAGAAAAACACAACCCTTTGTTTTATCTCACCAATTGCTGTTGTCCACGGCATCCCCAAAGCCTGGCGTGTCCACTATGGTGAGTGTCAGCTGAACCCCACCTTCCTTGATCAGGACTTTGGACTGTTCCACCTGAAATGTAAAGTATGGGGGGGTGTTACAGCAGTATAGAAGGATGCACCCAGTCCCTCGCAGAATCATTAGCAGAAGAGCTGAAAAAGGAAGGAATGTTGACAAGTGAGAAGAAAATGGATTCATGGTGATGAAGATATTGGAGGTGACAGAGGTGAAAAGCTGGCCATACAGAACCATCAAAATACAGACATGCAATGGAGTTGCAGACCTTTCCATTATAAATCACGTTCACATGATGCACTAAGACAGCTTCTCACTCCCCTTCAAGCAAAGTGCTCTCAGTAAAACCTCCCTGGCCACACATGATGTGTCTGTTGGTGCACGGTGGTGTTTTTATGCATCTGGCCAACATTGAATGCAAACAATTCCACGTTTAAAAAGGAATGGATGACCAGAGGACAAAAATATCGTAGAAGTAACCAAGGTTGGGGAAAATGCACTGATACAGCATGGTCTCGCGCCTGCCACGCGGCAGAACACCTTGGGATCCCATCTGGCGACCCCCCAGGCAGACACACGGTCCAGTCCCACCCTCCGGAAACGTGGGCATCTCCTCGGCCAGCTCCAGCTACTTGGGCTCTCAGTAATGAGGATCCTGTGAGCTGGATCACGCCCAGGGAAACCAAATGGCCGTGACTGAGGCTCCCTTACAATGCAGGTAATGTGTCTCCTCACTCGTTCGACACAAAGTCTAACCAGTAGTAGAGGTCGACCGATATGGGTTTTTAATAGCTGATGCCGATATTTAGGAGTCAGGGTCAGCCGATGGCCGATATATGCTGCCGTTTCTTTTTCTGGCTGATAATTGGATGTTTTCCCCTCTATTTGCATGGTAAAATATCACATTAATAACAACAAACGATACACAAAATTTCTCAACTTAGCATTTATTGAATACTGACTTGTGTAAATTTAAATATAAACTTAAATAACAAAAACACAATACAACTTGTAAACAATAGCTTAAACAATATTTTTATTGCATCAGAATCTCTTTTCGTGCACAATATAGCAGCAAACTTCTCATTTCTGAGGGAAGGAAAATTTGGAAACAATACAAAAAGGAATGAGCATGTTATCTTCAGTTTTAATCCCACTTCCAGTCCCTGACTCTTCCTCGCTCCACCCATCTCTCACTGAAAGTTGTTAGTACTCCCAGTTTAAGAGCTGCAGGTTGTCGTGCAGGAAACACAAATGTTCTGCATTTTCTCCTGTGAGCCTACTCCTCTTGTCAAAGATAATCCCAATCTCACTAAATACTGTCTCACTGGGAACAGAGGAGGGGGGTGGACAAAGGAAAGCATAAGCCCCTAGTGACTGTGACGTTGTCAACGGATAAGCCCATATAAAGGATAGACATATTTAATGAAGAAACCAACTGTGCAAAGTCGTGCACTTTTTATCTAGACATCTGACAAATTGTTTGAATCTCCGCTCTCAAATGCAAACAAGTTGCACAGAAGGACCATTGTCAGCATCAGCTCAAGTGAATGGTAACCACGCTTTCGAACAAACACTTTCCTCCGCCATGCATTGTTCTTAGCAGCTCTGTGTCTCCGAGGATGGTGCTGTCTGTGACCGGGGCAGAGTAATGCAACTCTCACACATGCTGCAGTGTTACAGAGCTGCCTGCTCCGCCCCACGCACACAGAGTCACTCTCCGACACAAGAACAAAAAAAAACAGAACTGATATCATCAGTTTGATATGGTAATAATTAAAATTTTAACAATTAAAATGATTTTTAACGATTAAAAAAATCTGTGAGCCCACCAACAAGCGCACAAAAGTAACTGTCAGAATCAATGATCCTTAATGTTACCTGTAAGCTACAGTTGGTTGAAGGTTCATTATCATTATGCCAGTTCCCGACAGCGTAATTTGCGTTCTTTCAAAAGTGCTCGCGTTTTCTTTTAAAGCAACATTTCATAGCAAACCAGTTAAATAAATAGGTCTTTGAAAGATCAGAATTTAAGCCTTACTTTTTCTCCCAGGACTCTTCCAAAACTTCTGGCTGGGGTCCTGCACAAGGCAGCATGGGTCATGTTTTTCCCAACAACAATAAAACTGGGCTGCCCGCAGACGTGCCTGTCTGTAAATCGGCATACTACACTTGGATATCGGCCGATGCGGATACATCAAAAAATGCCAAATATCGGCCCTATATATCGACTGGCCGATATATCGGTCGACCTCTAACCAGTAGTACACAAGGATTCTCCAAATAGACACGGTACCAAAGGAGCCCAGTCTTTGTCTCAGCTCACTGGATAGCATCCATGTCTCAGGAGGAAAAATAGCCTAAAACTCTGTGGCTTTGGCCGGCGCAGCAGATGGCGGTACATGGTGTGCTCCCTGCCAGCCCCGCTCTGTGGCTGGCTGGGCCCGGCCAGAGCTGCAGTCACCCAGCTTTCCCAGAGGAGAGTGTCAGCGGCATGTCCCTCAGCAACGCCAGTCTGACCCCTCACACATTCCATTTCATTTCAAACTAGGACAGGAATGTTTCTGAATATATATATATATATATATATATATATTTATTTATTTTATTTTTTTTGGGGGGAGGGGGGCACATATGCAGTTAATACGCAGTTTAAAATAAACACACAAATTTTTACCTACAATAATGGCTGGATCCCCAGCAAGGCCTGTAAAATCTAAATTAGGCAATGTAATTGTGAATTGTGTAATTGTTAATTGTGTAATTGTGAATCCAAGCGTGTGGCCAGAATATGGTGAGAAGTAATAGGGAACACAGCCACCGGTACCTCACGTCATTCCGGCACAAACACACGCCTAGATTGAGGCCATCTGTGCCCCCTGGAGGGCTTTGCTGCAGATCCCACAATGCTCAGCCCCCGTAGCCACACGCAGCCACATTCCGAGACGGACACAAAGCTCAGGTTTACTCCACTGCTTGCCTCACACTGCAGAGTAACGGTGGCTCATTCACGGAGCACAGTCCTATTACCCAAGCGCTAGCTGCTAGCAGCCACGTCAGCACCGAAATGAGCTTCATGCTGCAGGATGGGAGGGCCCAGCAAGGGTGTCGTGGGGGCCTGAGAATGGGAGGGGGGACAAGGGGCTGCGTCACCGGGTCAGGACTGCGGGTCTGGAGTTCCATGGGAACATTCCTGACCTTACTGCAACCCCCCCTCACCCCACAGCCTGACAAGAAATGTAGCCCCCCCCCGTTCAACAGGGCCGATGTCTGACATTGGGAGGGGGGGAGCAATAAGGACCGGGGCTCCCCCACCCACCCGATGCAAGAGTACGACGCAGGTATGGGAGGTCAAGCAATTCATAAGCTTAACCAAACAAGACACCACATACCCAGTTAGACACAGCGCTAACCACTGGTGGACACTGCACATGACCCACTGGGCAGCGAAGCACTGTCCAGTTGAACATAGAGTCCAGGCTAATGAATTGTTTGACACATCAGCGTTTTAACACTTTATTTTACAGGGCACAAGTTACCATATTTGTTACTATAGGGTTATCTGTTAATTCTGTCAGCCTTTGTGAAGTACTGAAGGAACAAGTCATGAGTAACGTAAGTTAACGAACAGTGACACATCTTGTATATCAAGTAGTAATTATATTTGTCCATCGTTTGTACTACAGCAGTAAATATGCTATTATGAAGTATTTGTGTCCCATCAAGTGAAGTGTTACCATTGAATGATGACCAAAAAGGTAACAGCACGAAAACAATAATAATATTTCTGCAAATAATCCTGGCTCCTAAAATGTCCAGGGTGCCACACCATCTGTAAACAGAATCGAGTTGATAAAGATATTATTTATGTTTAAGTGATCTCTTTGATGGCAACAGTTTATTATTTAGTTATTACTGATTTATTAATTTTTTGTGTGTAACCAGACTGTGGTATTGGACAGCGTGCATGACTTAACAGCTGTGCAAATGGAGAGTGCGTGCGACTGGACTCAGTAGTGCAGCTGTGTGACAGGAAGTGCGCGTGACCTAACTGCATCGCGCAGGTGTGCAATGGGACAGCTCACGTGACCCGAGTCGATCATGCAGCTGTGCAACTAGACAGTGTATGCAACCTGACTCGATCACACAGATGTGATATGGATAGAGAAGAGCAACTGGATAGTGCGTGCGACCCAACTCGATCGCACAGTTGTGCGATGGACAGCGATGGACAGTGGTGTCTGGAAGGGTGGTGTCTGTCTTGGCCAGGCTTATGAATTGTTTGGCCCGCCATAGGCAGGGCTATCGCAGCTACAGGATAAAAGAAGAAAACAGCAGATAGAGGCACAGCTAGACAACCTAATGATGAACTGGTGGTAGAGAGGGGCAGAACTATTAAACCATCCAGGTGCTGGCGGATGGCAGAAAGCAGAGGGGTTTCTCACCTGCACAGTTTTCTTGATGCGATGCGAGGGTCCAGGGTAGTCCTTGGAGTACAGGTCGGTGAGAAAGAGCGAGTTGATGAGGGTGGATTTTCCCAGTCCAGATTCACCTGGGGGGAGAGGAAGAAACACATATGTTTAGTGATGTGCAGTGAGCACTGAAAACTGCAGCACCAAATGGTGAACAGCCACTGCACTCCATGCAGTAATGAGTACCCAGAGGGCCGGTGATGCACTGGAAGTGGAAAACAGTAAGTACTGTGAGGAAAACCCATGTGTTTACCAGTGCACAGGCACAACACAAGCACAGCAGCAACTTGCAAAACAACACGCATATACAGGAAGACACATGCGGTGGTGACAGACCTGTCACTCGCATGATGGCCCTGACTACCAATGGGACACACCCCCAACACACTCCACCCCATGTCACAGTCATGGCAGCCCCTCAGATGCGGCAGCCACACCCCCTCTCCCCCTATGTGATGACAAACTCCTCCCCTCACTGAAGCTGCAGGATACCATCTGGCAACGTGAGGATGGTAAATCAGCATACAAGGCACAATGAAAGCTGTGTTCCCACAACAAGCCGAACCCACAGTGACCACCCCCACCCCCCCCACCCCCGTCAGGCACACTGTCAGAACGGACCAGTCAGATGGGGTTCAATGAATCTGCAGTCAATTAGGATGCAGGGAACATGTCACCCCCCCACTTCATTTCTGAAACAACCCGACCCATGTGGCCTCTATACTGGCTTAATTAAAATGGCGCCCTGCCTTCCCAAAACGGACACTGGTACACTTAGTGTGGCCTCCTTTTTGGACAACAGAATCCATGGGGCTTTTACTGTAGGGAATGACCTCTGTGCGGCTGACAGCTGGACTCAGCATAAAGCAGCTGAAGGGAGAGAGAAATAAGGCCATCTGATGTGGCAGCTCTCTGCTCTCAGTGCTCCAGCTTCCTGCAGAATAACCTGAAAAAGTGCAAATCCACAGTGAGGGTGTGACAGAGAGATGGGGTAATGTCTCAGATAC